TGTTTCAAGTCTGGTTTCCCAGCCGAGTTTGCCCTTTCTCAGCCGTTTCTACAGCAGAGCAGCTACTGTGCTCTGACTTACCCTCTTCCCTCCCCTGTTCCTAAGTTACCCCTGACGTTGTTTATCTTGACAGGACACATCTTGGTATGTGGGCTTCCCCCTGTGCTGTGGCTGTCATAACCGCGAACCATAATCTGTTCAGACCCTTTGGATTGAGACCCTCGTGAGCTGGGGGGCTGCTCCATGTACATAGTGCTCAAGAGCCTCAAAGTGACGCCGTGCCCTGAGCATCCTTAACAGCACGTCCTCTTTATTGGTCCCTCTAAAATCCAGAGAGCGTTCTATTTTTCCATCAAAATACGCAGGAGAAGTCTCCTTCTGTCACCCTGTTTACTACTCAGCTGTACCTGGGTGGTCCAACCTTCCCTTCTGTCCCGTCTAATTCCCCAAGGGTACTCGCTGTCAAGAAAAATATTGTCTGTTTCTTGTAATTGAAACAAACCTTTTTTTTTTTTTTAAAGGTACCAGGACTCTTATCTTAATGAACTGGAAAGGGCCTCTGCAGTTTCTCCTTCCAGCAAGCCTCCCTCTGCTCAGCACCATTGGCATTTGAATTACCACCCAATAGTCCATTGTTAACTAATTTGAGTCCATATATGGCAACAACTTTCTTTTTTTTTTTTTTTTTTGTGAGGAGATCAGCCCTGTGCTAACATCTGCCGGTCCTCCTCTCTTTGTTTTTTTGCTGAGGAAGACTGGCTAACATCTGTGCCCATCTTCCTCCACTTTATGTGGGACGCCGCCACAGCATGGCTTGCCAAGCGGTGCATCAGTGCACGCCCGGGATCCGAACCAGAACCCTGGGCTGCCTCAGCGGAGCGCACGCACCTAACCGCTTGCGCCACCGGGCCGGCCCCAGCAACAGCTTTCTAAAAGAAGTGCTGGGATACTGTGCTAGAAGTGCTGAATATCCTTGGGCAGGTTAATTCATGTCAACTGCAAGATGAGAGTAATTCTGCCTGTGAAAGGGTTGTTGTGAGCATTAGAAAGCGTATATATAATTCCTCTACACCCTGCCTGTTGTCTGACAGCCACAAGGTGTTTCACTGGGATGTCTAATAGGCATCTCAAACTTAAAATGGCCAGAGAGAGACCTCTTCGTGTCTCCACCATGAGCACACTCACCTGTGCATGTCCCCACTATTCCCCCGAGTAAAAGGCATCAGTGTTGGCCACCCTCATCTCTCCCTTGGCCACCTGCTGCCTCACTAGTCCCCTGCCGGCTGTACCCCACCACCCCTGACGGTGGTCACTCCTAACCTGGGTTTACGGATGCCCCCGTGAGCTGGCCCCGAGCTCACCGGCCCTGTCTTGTTACTCTCCTCCCTCCCTGCAGCCTCCATGATGCCCGGAAACACACCTGAGTGACTCTGCAGGATCTGATAGAGCTCTACTTCCAGTTAGTTGAGTCATGGCTTCAGTGTCACCTTTGGGAAGGCCTTCCCTGAGCAGTCAATCTCAGGTCGCCCCCATGGTGTCACCCTATTGTGATTCTATAAACAGCACTCATTGCTGTTACTTGTGTCTGTGTGTCTCCCCCTCTAGGCATTAAGCAAGGCTTTGTCTTGTTCACCACTGCCTCCCTAGCATCCAGAATTGTGCCTGGCATGGGGTAGATACCGGTCATCCACTTACCAAGTGATGGATTCAACAAATAGTAGCTACTGCTATTATTAGCATTAAAACTGGAGTATGTTTACGTGAACTAAGATACATATATAGATATAGAGCTATATATTTATATCTGTCATTTATAGATAGGGTTAAAAATGGGTTTGGGAGATTTGACAGCAACCCTACTAAAATAGGGACCCTAAAATCAAGTCTTGGTTATGTTTCCTCCCATATTGGAAAGCTGACAAGGAATTGATGGACTTATGGAACCTGCAAGAAACTATTAATGGATGTGAAAGCAGGCCCCCATCCCTCATAAATCTTCTGCACCCACACGAGTTCTACTTGATGTGCTACAACTGCCTGGCAAACATAATTCAGAAATGAGTAAGTTTCTGCCCAGAACAATATGAATAAAAATCATCATTCGTTCTTTTAAATGATGTGTAAAGCCGGCCCCTATTGTCACTCTACGGTCCCCGCTGTTGAGGAATACAGATAAGAGATTAAAAGAGGGGCTCATCCCTTCTGATCCACGTGGGCATGTGCACAAGAGAGGCCCTTCAGGACCTTAGAGCCCCAGACTTATTTTCTGAATTACTTAAACTGCTTTCTCTCCTGGTGAGTTCTGTGTTAGCAGTAGCCCCCACTCTCTCTTTTGCTGAACATTCCCGCAGACCAGGGGCTTAAAGATCCTCATTACCTGAAATAAGACTGTGGTTACAAATTCTCAACCCCTCCATGCAGGATGGTGCTTCCCTGGGTAGGTTACACAGAGGGTTAGTAAGCTCTCCATTCTCCACCCAGGGACCCAAGGAGGCAGTTAGGTATCACAGAAACCAGGAGCCGAGTCCGAGCGTCCGAGACATTCCAGAGGAGGGCGGAAGCAGGGAGAGTAGACAGAGTCCTAATGGTTTGCTGTACCAGCTCACAAATCAGTGCTGGGAAACAGAGATTGTGGGATCATTTGTACTCAAGCAATTGTTTGTACCCGTGGGCTCCCACTGATGAGTCTGAGGACCCTTTCCTATGGTAGTATCGAGCACTTTCTATATTCTAGTCTCTGGAGATACCAGGAAGATGAGCATACCCTGCAGGAGTTTACATTCAGGCAGGAAACACAGAAACGGTTAATGATCGGGTGCCACGATTACTCAGTAGTGGATGTAGGTATGAGTAGCTCAGGGACACACCATAGCCCAGACCCCTCCTCACACAGCCTGGTTGCCATTTTCCCTTGGATGTCTCAGAGGCCTGTCACACTGACTGCACCCCAGGTCTCACTCAGGAGCCGCCCTCCCCGCCTTCCCTGTCCTCGTGTCAGTGAATCTCCATGGAACCCTAAACGCCGGAGTTGCTCTTGATACCTTCTTCTCCCTCTCCTCCTCATTCACTCTGCACTCGTCTCCTGTCACTTTTGCCTCCTGACTCCCTCTCGAGTTCATCCTCTTTCCATCTCCACTGTCACCACCCTGATCCTAACTGCTGTCTTCTTTCCTCTCCTGATTGATGCTTGCGTACCTGCTTTGGGCCCCTCCAGTGCGTTCTTTCACAAATCGGGTCAGGTAACACCAGTGCCTCTTTCCTCACACACTCTCAGACGTTAGATCCTTCCATGGCTTTCTGTTGCTTTTAGGATAGAACCAGTCCTTAGCACAGCCTACGGAGCCGGGGGTGGTGCAGCCCTGCCCGTCCCTCCCGCCCAGTCCTGAACTGGGTTCCCCGTTGTTCTCTGCACTCCAGCCACACTGGCCTTCCTTTTTTATTTTAATTTCTTTTCTAAAGTATCACACAATAAAACTGACCTTCATTCCTCTGCCATACAGCTCTGTGAATCCTAGCACATGTGCTAATCTTCTTTTCATACCTTGGCTACACTGCGCACCTTCCTGTCCCAAGGCCTTTGGGAGTCCTTCACTGGACTCGGTCACTTCTCCCGCAGAGAAGTCTTCTCTGCCCCCTGGTCTAGCTCAGCCCCTCGTTCTGGGTCCTCATTGCTCGGGCTTTTCCTGCATCATTTGAGTGGCAGTGTCGATGCTCTAGCGTGGCTCCTGCTCGGTGACGGTGAACGGATGCAGCAGGGACACGTGTGGGTTTGCGCTCACCACTGTAGCCCGTGTATGTGTTGCCTCCCAGTAGGTGCTCGGCACACCTTTTCTGTGTGAGCAAGGCAGTCAGGAAAGCCTGTCACCCCTGCACCGAGCCCCACTCTGCTGCCTGACTCGGGAGGGGGCCTGGTTTGGTAGGCAGCCCTGTTTTAAAATCAGACAGGCTTGTTTTGACTTTCTCCTTCGCCATTTTTTGCAGAACGTACCATCATCTGATCTCTTTGACTGATGAGTATAAAACCCACCTAACCCCTTAGAGTCAGGATGAAATGGAGTAAACTATGTGAAGTCTCTGTCGCATCATAGGTGCTCGGTAAATGGCAGCCCTCGTCCCACACATGTGGGGAGGGAGGCCCCGCTCCAAAGGGCTCAAGACACTAATGTGTCCTTGTTGGAAAACAGCAAAGCCTCAGGCAGGTTCTCGTTCTGCTCGGGCCATGTCCTCTATGCTACTTGGTTTATTTAGTGCACGCTGTTTTAGTCCCTCCTGCCTGCCTTGTCGCACCGGCTCTGTGGGGTGCGCCAGGCACCTGCCCTGGAAGCCTGCGGTCAACTGTGAAAGTCAGTACAGCGACAAAAGCCACGGGGCCCAGTGCTGGCCTAGGGAGCCTGGGGGGCCTGGGCCCCCGCCCCGTTCTGTCAGAGCTGAGCAGGGAGCTGCCACCTGCCCGGGAAGGGGCCCATGGGGCGGGCCAGTGGGCTTGGAGTGCCCTTCCGCCCCGCCAGAGCACTGCCCTCCCAAGGCCCTGCTTGTGGAAATAGAGCTAGAAGCTCAGCGGAGAGGTCCCCCAAGGGGCAGTGCCGCCCCTAAACGTGTTTGCAAGTGTGTAGGGGCTTCTTTTGTTGTCACGATGGCTGGACACGGTGGGGGCTTTGGGCGGGCAGGAGCCGCAGATGCTCAACATCCTGCAGTGGGAGGTAGCCTGGGAGGCAGGGCCTTGCCCAGATGCCAGGAGCCTCCTTACCCCCCAGGGTGAAAAAGCTGGAAGGATCTTGGAGAGCGTTCAGCTCCCCACCCTGCCTGTCTCAGATGCCAGGCTGACTTGGGCAAGCAGAGAGGAGAACAAAGACTGGCAGAGAATCTGAGATCCGGGTGAAATCCGGAGAGAGCACCTCGGAGGCCCAGAAGGGCTCTCGGGTGAGAGAAAACAGTGCCTTTGTAAATCTCTGGTGACAACGTGTCTCTGCTTCCTTCTTTTCTCCTAAACCTTTGTACAGGAGCGTTTCTTTTGGGAGGAATCCTCTACTCCTGGCAATTCCCTCACTTCAACGCGCTGAGCTGGGGCCTCCGCGAAGACTACTCCCGAGGTGGCTACTGCATGATGTCCGTCACGCACCCAGCCCTGTGCAGGCGCGTCGCCCTGCGCCACTGTCTGGCCTTGATCGGACTGTCCGTGGCAGCCCCCATCCTGGATGTCACCACGTGGACCTTCCCCGTCATCTCCCTCCCCATCAACTTGTATATTTCCTACCTCGGCTTTCGGTTCTACAGGGACGCGGACCGCAAGAGCTCCAGGAAACTGTTCTTCTGCAGCCTCTGGCATTTGCCCTTGTTCCTGCTCCTCATGCTCACCTGTAAGCAGCCACGAGGTGGGGGAAGTGACAAGGGAGAACCTCAAAGCTGAAAGCGCATTGGCATGTGGGGAAGAAACCAAACATACAGGGAGACACAATTTTTTTTCCCTTTGCTGTTAGACAAGAACATTTTGGTAATTCTGGAGCTCAAGAAGAGAAATTGCTGGGTTTAATGCAAGATTGTAAAATGATTTGGTGCTCAGTGATCACTTGACAATTTTTTTTAATGATAATATCCAAAATGCTCCCTGAATACGAAATGGGTTGACTCAGCAGATTAATACAAAGAGAGCATAATTTTCTCTTTGAGGGCCTGTATGTATTTTTTTCCTCCAACCTTCCCATTGTTTTTCTTCTTCCTTGCATAGTTGTACAAGTATGCTTCTTCCTTTTCTGGCCCCACACATGCACTCCCCACCTGCCGGCCACAGTGGTAATTGGTGGCCAGACAAGGTGAGCATTCGTCTATGATATCAGTAGTTCTGTGTCCTCAGGTGCCGCAAGGCCTGTGTCAGAGGAAATGCACGCTGCCAGCCGCAGCACCCCCTTGCCTGTGAATAAGCCAGGGTTCCAGCTTTCTCTACCCCACACGTACTCTCTGCCACATACTCCCTCAAACAGAAAGAGAATACCAAGGCTGGGCTGCTGCACAACCTTGGGAGGGAGCATTCCAAACGGTTGTCTAGGGACTCTCAGACTGGACTGCAGGCCCCTGGCCCTCACCCCCAGTACATATCAGCATTTCACAACCTCCGAGGAATCAAAGGCATCTTTATCGTTGCCTTTAAAATACAGGAGGTGTCTAAAGCCTTTCTTTCTGGATGGATAGCGCTAGACCTAACACCAGAAGTCGCTCCGGCTCTGACCCAGTCCCGTTCCTCTTAGCATTACTGCAGAGCGTCAGCTCCTCTTTGCTGCGCGGCTGTCTCGAGGCCGAATGAGAAGGGAAATCAGAAAAAAAGGTGAGCTGGGCTAGCCAACCCACGTAGCTCACACGCTTGTCCCTTTAGTGAAAAACACATTTCCATCCTGGCATCTTCTGAATTCAGAAATCAGCCTCCACACATCAGCAGTGTTAAGAGCCATGAGCGGGAGTTGGGCTCTGGGTGGGGACGCTTCCTTCCCGTCCTGGGCATTGTGTGAGTTTCCTGGTAGCGAGCACCTGTCCTCCTCCGTCAGTCCTTCACCCACGCCCACTTGTCCACTGTGAGTCCCATTGGCCCGAAGCTCTTGTAGCTTAACAGGATGTTTTAATTACTCGGTCTCCGGCGGCATTGCTGCCCTGTAGGAATTAATTTGGGGAGTTTAAGCAACATTTAAATGGTCATTGCACTATGCTTGTTCACTCAGAAATTTCTAAAGCAATTGCAGATAGCATCTGATCCCTGTTTCTACTTATCTGAAATATTACCTCTCGGCTGTATCCAGGTTATTTACTGTGGGGAACATGGCGTAGGAATGTCTGGAAAGAACATCTACAACTTGTTGCAGCCCTCCAATTTGTCAAATGCATCGGTTCTCTTTTCCTGCTGCAATAAACTGGTATATGAGAGCAGGAGTGCATGTGGTGTAATTTTATTTAATCATCCTGTGCTGAGTTTGCCCAGTTCCTGGTAGAATTGGTAACACTTGACTCACTTTCATGAGCCAGCAGAGGATTAGAAGGCCGTCGATATTTCTGTTTGAAGGTGGTGGAAGTGAGCGCCCTGGAGCGTGAGAGATCCTGTGCGCTGGAAAGAATAGGCAAAGGGCAGTAACCCACCCCCCCACCCTTCTTCTGCTCGGAATCATCCAGTCTCTCCCTTCTCCTGCCTCCAAAACCATCACCAAAGAAATCTTCCTGCACACTCTGACCTGTCGTTCTCCTGCCCAGAAAGTACATGGCACGCCGTCTGTGCAACAGTGAAGTCTCGGCCCGACACCACACCCAACGTCCTCCCAGTTCTCTCTCCAGGAATCTTCCATGTGGTGCCACCTCACTGATTTCCTGCCGCTCCTCACAGCCCCCTGAGGGCACCCTGTGCTCAGATGAGCCCATCCCCCCCCACCCCATCCCATATGTCCCTGCGTGGACCATGGAATTGACCCTCCCTCTCCCGACTGCCACAGCCCCTGCAGGACAGCTGCTCAATCCCCGGACCCCTGGGGCTGCATTTCCACCCCCGCCTACAGGCCCTCACCTTGACAGCCTTTGTAAGGACTCCGCTCAGTGGCATTCCCAGGTGGATGACGCAGGTGTCCTCCAAGCGTTCTTGAGTTGAGCATCTGTGGGAAATACTGCCTGTCGCAGCTCTCTGGGGAGTCAGAGGCACGTGCACGTAGTAAGGCTTCAGGAGACTCAAAGTCACAAATGTAGAAGTCTGAGTTTGCTCACCTACTGTTTCCCAAACCTAGCACGCCCAGAGCCCTCTCCCCTGTGTAACGCCTCCCAGCCTCGCATGGAATGTGCAGTGGGGAGCGCAGCCTGGGAGGTGCTGTCCGGACCTGATCTCCAGAGTTTTCACTCGGGTCCTTCAGGCCTCTGGCTGTGCGAGCGGGACTAGGCCTGCAGGCCCTGACGGAGTAGGGGCCGCGCATGGAGGAGAAGGGGCTTGAGATTTGAAACGGATTCACTTGGAGTTTGGTTATTCTATAACAAGACAAACTAATGAAAAGGAAAAGGGACATGTCCAGTCCCTTAAGTAGGTTTTTTAAAAACATTTATGATTCTTAGCCTAGTATTCCTCTGACTCTGGGAAAATTGTACCAACTTCCTGTTATTTTAGTGAAACCGCTGTATCAGTTAAGGATAGAACCAAATTTCACCACAGGGTCCATCTTTGTAAGCCTACAGCTGTGGTGGGAATGCCATGCCTGTTCCCAGGATCAGTTTTTCTTTTCAAACAAAAATGGAATCTGTCTTGCCCAATAGAAACACGTTCTTCCTGGCACTATAAACGTGCTTTGAGTACCCCCCACCCCAATGCTGGAGGGGAAGAGCAAAACTGTTGGAAGTTGTGCTTTGCTCTGAATGTGTGTAGGGTTGAATTTCCCTCTGATAATTGATTCGTTTTTCTTCAGTCCTTCCTGCTTGTCATCCTCGCCTCCTGTTTGCTTTGCTAAGGAAACAGCTGGGACTGAGCACTTCTCTGCCCAGGGGCAATGCCGGGAACAGAGCAAAGCTTTTTCTGCTCGCTGACTCTGGTGTGACATGAGACTTGCTCCTCTGAGTTCAGCTGGAGCCAGGGTCTCTGTCCCCTGACACCCACCTCCCCTCCCCGACACACTCCTAGTGACAGGACACATAACTGACGGCAGCAAGAACTGGGAGAGAAAGGTCTTTGGAAAGTGCCCACTTGACCCCTGTAATGACCTGCTCATAGTCCAAGAGAACTCCTCATCTGACCTGAACGAAGAACTGGGTAGGGATGTTGCCTTGGTTCTTTCTCTGAAATTGGAGGCCAGCTAGTGATCACCCACAAAGTTCCTCTGTCACTAGCACGTCTTCTCCCTCTGTCTGGTAGGATCAGTGGTGTCCACCAACCAGGCAACTAAATGAAAAGCAAGTGGAACACAAACAGGGCCCGGCAGTCGACTCGGACATTTGTCATGCTTGCTGCTTTTGGTCTGTTCCCATCAGCTGTCAGACTTGTCACATATGTTTATATCTACTCATCTACCTAGAGTAGAAGTTAAGCAGGGACAATATACATGCTTCTTCTTTGTTGGAAACCCAATCATAATTGACGTCATGCCGGACAGATTACAACTTCCATCATCATTTGGTCTCAATTTCCTAACCAAATACAAGATGTAAAGAGATATTCTGATCAAAGAACCTCTGACACTCACTTCCTAATTCAGGTTTGGTCACTCGGTTGCTGGACCCCGCCGTGCACATCACAGAACCACTGAGAGGCATGGCATCTGCCAGCATCCAGCCACCGCCCCAAGCTTGCACTCTGATCGGCCCAGCCTGGGTCCTAACTCCCGCTGCCATCCATCACTGAGGCAACCAGGTTGAGCCGCTGAAATGCATCCCAACTCTGGCCACCACTCACCTCTTCCACCGCCACCAACTCAGCTTAACCGCCCATCTCCCCCATGCCTACGAGCCTCCTCATTTATCTTCCTCCTCCTTTTGCCCCTCCCCTGTCTGTCTGTCACGCAGCAGCCAGCATGATCCTGCTAAGGTACCAGGCAGACCAGGACATTCCCGTCTCCACCCTCCAAGGGCCTCTTCACACCGCAGATGAAATGCAAAGTCCTTCCAGTGGCCCCCATGACCTGGCCCTGCTCCCCGGTCTGATCTTGGAACTACCCTCCGGACCCCCGACTGTCCTGTCCACAGGGAAGCATACCTGCCTTCCGGGCCTTCTCGCCTCCTGTTCCCTCTGCCTGCAGCCCTCGCCCCATCTCTTCTGGTGGATGCCCTCCTAACCGCATGAAATGATGCTGTTAGACATTCTGTGTCTGTCTATCTCCTTACCTGCTTATTATCTGTCTCCCCGTGGAATAGAAGCTCCATGAAGGCGAGGACTCATCTTTGCATCCCTTCATCCCCAGTATAGAGCAATGCTGGCACAGAGCACCTGCTCACTGAGTGCTTTTTGAATGAATAACCCCATCTGGGCTGTGTGAGGCCCAAGTGTCAGAGGGACAGGGTCTGTCAGCCCGGGATCAAGAATGAGCTGGTTTAGAATTTGTTTATAACATGAGAAAAAATGTCTTGTAACCTGTCCTTATCCCGCTGCTGGTACAGTCCCTGTCCCTGCCCCCGCCTGCAGGGCTCAGTCCGGGATGGCACCAGCGCTTCCAGGCCACCGACCCACAACTTTGACTTGTTTCTGGAATTTGCCTTCTCTAACTTTAAACCACCAACCCACCCACACCATTCCTGCTGTATTCATCTCCCATAGCAGCTATCTATATGCAACGTGCGTGTTTGACTTCCCTGTTTATTGAGTTTCCTGCTTCCCCCCCACCACCATTAGACTGTAAACTCAATAAGGCAGAAATGTCTGTTTCTCACCGCTGTGTCCACAGAACAGAAGGCACTCAATAAGTGACCACATGGTAGATGCCCCGTCACTGATCAAAGGAGTGAATGAGTGACTTGAGGGGAACAGCTGGAGGTGGAGGTGGCAGGAGCCAGTTGTCTCTGTTCCATTCTCGGACCAGCACTTGAGAGTGGGGAGACTGGCACACGCCC